AATTCTCATATTTAATTAATTAATTTCCTTAATTAACAGTGCGGGTTCTTACACAAAACGCATAAGGTAAAATTGATAAATGATGGTGAAGATCCCTCTTACATTTGGCGGCTGCCTAAGAGTCCCCAGGAGTCTAGTATTTCTCCATTAGTGAATGGACTCATGGGTAATGGGTTTAACCCTAAATAGCATATTCAAAACAATATCAAATAAAATAAAATAAAATAAAATAAAATAAAGAATGATGTGAATTAAATGATGTGTTTTTGTAATTCTAATTTATTACAAATGATGGTAGCTCAGTTGGTGCTATGGAACTGAGCATGTGAGGGTGAGAGCATGTGTTCGATCTTTTCAATTATCATCTTTAGGAAGGATTTAAAGCCTTAATCCTGAGACCCACCTTGAATCGGACTAATCGCGAAATGATAAACCAATTGGAATATCTCCAAAAAAAAATTTTCTAAAGATAGGATGTAAAAAAATTTCAAAATGGGAGGCAGCATTGTAAATAAAATGAAATATAACCATGGAGGTGTTTTTCTATGTTTTTATGGGAAAAATGTGTGTCATTTTAAAGGATGTAAAGTTGTGTCATTTTAAGAGAGAGAAAGAGATAGATAAAGGATGAGAGAGAGTTGACAAAAAAATAAGAGTAAACACCTTTTTTGGTCCCTGACAATATCTACGAAATTCTTTTTAGTCCCTGGCAATAAAAAAGGACCAAATTGGTCCCTAAAATTATGAAAAAAGGGCCACATTAGTTCCTTATGTCAACTCCTCCATCACTAACATAGCCCTTTTTACATACTGTTAGGGACCAATTTGGTCCTTTTTTATTGTCAGGGACTAAAAAGGATTTCGTAGATATTGCCAGGGACCAAAGAGGGTGTTTACTCAAGAAATAAAGGTGTGAATCTCACCTCGCTGTGAGAGTGAAAGGATATAAATTATGTTATTTAAAAAGATAAACATTTTTCCCTGTTTTTATTTGCCATCAAACCAAAAATGAGTTGAACAAAAACACTGTAAAAGCCATATTGCCACTGATTTTATATAGTCAAGGATCAAGCCGTGTAGGACTCATCTTGTTGGACTTTTGAGAGGATTTATCACGTGCAATAAATAAAAATACTACATGGTACAAAGGAGACAGGTATATAAGCTGTGAATATAAATAAATTATTTCTATTGAGTTTAAAACAATGTTATTTTGAGGTAAAAATTAAAATATTTTTATAATTATAATTTATTACAAGATTATAATAGTCTTTACAATTATAATTTTTTAATATTTCAACCAAAATAACATTATTTTAGGAGTAAATAAAAATAACTTATATGGATTCCTATTTGAAATATTAAAGCCATTATATTTTTTGGACAAAATACGAAAAAAAGAGAGCATCAATGCACTCATGTCATGCCATTACAGCTTCAAAACGCAATACATGTGCATCACAAAACGGGAAATGAATGATTTGACGAATTCAAATGAATGCATGAATGGGACTATATAAGTTAATAATCATAGATACAGATAAAACCACCATGTAATTTTTTATTGACTATCCATCTTTTTTTTTTCTTTTTTTTTTACCTATCATTTTTTACCTTAAATCCGTGTATATATATATATATAGGGATAGGATCAACTTACACCGGTGTAAAAATAATAAGTCTTTCACTAAATCTTAACCGTTGATTTTCGTGCATCTAACGGTTGAGATTTATTGGGAATTAAAAATTAATTAATGAGTGAGACTTAATAAATCTTAACCATTAGATGCAGAAAATCAATGGTTAAGATTTGATGTAAGACTTATTATTCTTACACCGGTGTAAGATGATCCTGCCCCATATATATATATATATATATATATGAGCTTATCATTTCTGCAGCTGCTGTAGAGAGTGTTATCTACAGCTGATACAGAAAAGTGGGCCCCACAGCGTTTAAAAAAAAATCAGGATCCGGTGCCGTATCTTGGGTTGCTATAGGTGCAGCAGCTGCAGAAATCATTTTGCCTATATATATATATATATATATATATATATATATATATATATATGAGAAAAACATTTCTCAAGTTGCTTGAGACAATGTTATCTCCGGCCACCCCAAAACTACATCGTTTTATTTATTTATTTCTTTATATTAATTGATTCACCTTTGAATGGTTATGATTTTCTTTTTCTCTCTCTTCCTTATATATATATATATATATGGAAAAAACATTTCTCAAGTTGCTTGAGACAATGTTATCTCCGGCCACCCCAAAACTACATCGTTTTATTTATTTATTTCCTTATATTAATTGATTCACCTTTGAATGGTTATGATTTTCTTTTTCTCTCTCTTCCTTTATCTTCATTGATCCATTTTGTACGGTTATGATTTATTAACCGGAGATAAGATTGTCTCAAGTAGCTTGAGAAATGATAAGCCCTATATATAACATATATATATATATATATAGTAAGCCCAATACAACGTCGTTTTGGAGCGAAAATCATTGTATTTTTGTAATTTTAATTTAAGTTAGGGTTATTATAGTCTTTATAATTATAATTTCTTAATCTTTTAGACCCAAAACGACATCGCTTTGGGAGTAAATATAGATAACTTATCTGCAGTAACTGCAGAAATATTTCTCTCTCTATAGAGAGAGAAATATTTATGCAGTTACTGCAGATAAGTTATCTGCATCTACTCCCAAAACGACGTCGTTTTGGTGTTGAAATATTAAAAAATTATAATTATAAAAACTATTATAACATTGAAATAAATTAAAATTGTAAAAACACCTTGATTTCCACCTCAAAACGACGTCGTTTTGAGCTCAATGCAAATAACTTATCTGCATTAACTGCAGAAAAAACGAACATATACATACATACATATATATATATATATATGGGAAAAATATTTCTCCAGTCACCGGAGATAAAGTTATCTCCAGTGAGCTCAAAACGACGTCGTTTTAGGTTATAAAATTAAAAAATTATAATGATAAAGACTAATATAACCCTTCAATATATTATAATTACAAAAACACCTTGATTTCTGCCCTAAAACAACGTCATTTTTGGCTCACTGGAGATAACTTATCTCCATTGACTGGAGAAATCCTTTACCCTATATTATATATATGAGGTTTATATTTCTGCAGTTGCTGGACGTGTAGCAGTCAAATACTTGCCATATATATACGTGAAAGCATTAAATATGACTAATCATAACTATACAAAAGATGAAAACATTAAATGTGGGGAATCATAACCATACACATGTCATTGTTGTACGTAAAGCGGTTGCAGAAATGATTTTACCATATATATATATATATATATATATATATATATAATATAGGGGATTATTTGCATTCATAATGCAACATGACAACAAAAAGTTTCCTACATACACAACATTTTGTGGGGCTCGCATTTTTTTAAGCAAAAAAAAAAAACTACGGCACGAAAAACAAATATCTATAACATAACACAATCACTTTTCCTACAACATAACTTTTATAAAACCCTATATATAGGGTTTGCAATTAATGTAGATAACTTATCTACATTGAGCCAAAAATGACATCGTTTTGAGGCAAAAATAAGGCATTTTTGTAATTATAATTTATTTAAGGATTATAATAGTTTTTTTCATTATAATTTTTTAATTTTTCAACCCAAAACAAAGTCATTTTGAAAGGGAATGTAGATAACTTATCTATATAGAATCCTTAAATCCGTGTATATATATATATATATATATATATATATATATATATATATATAGGAAAAACATTTCTCAAGTTGCTTGAGACAATGTTATCTCTGGCCACCCCAAAACTACATCGTTTTATTTATTTGTTTCGTTATATTAATTGATTACCTTTGAATGGTTATGATTTCCTTTTTCTCTCTCTTCCTTTATCACCATTGATACATCTTTATACGGTTATGATTTAGTAGCAGGAGATAACATTGTCTCAAGTAGCTTGAGAAATGATAAGCCCTATATAAATATATATATATATATATATATATATATATATATATATATATATCGCAAAAGATTGGCTCATCTGGATGAAATTACATTAAAAATCACATAAGTTCAAGTACCCAAAAATAAAAAATAAAATAAAATAAATCACTGGTACATCGAATAAAAAAAAGAGAGCCATGAAAGGGAAATAAACGATACCATATTCGGTTTCTTTTGTATCTGTATTTGGTTTTCTGTTGAAAATGGCTTACAACTGGTCCTACACTGATTTCATTATATGTCGCATTCAATATGTCTGCACTTGCACAAATTCATTGTTGTAACTTGACTAGTATCTTGAGTTCTTGACTAAAGAACCAAAGATATGCATTTATTCTGAAAACTCTTATCCTCAAGCTGAAGAAAATGAAGAGTGAGAAGCAACTACTGGCGAATGGATTAATTAAGAGATGGATAGAGTTGTGCGCGTGCTTCAGATTAATAATACAACAAACACTTTCAAAGATATAAATAAGAGAACGTTGTGAAATTTCAACACTACCACTAGTAGAGGTTGTCCGAAAATTGATTGGGTAAAAATGTTTGAATTTATGAGTACTGTCTTATCATCCATACACGTTCACATGAGCTGAAAGATATTGAGGAGACAGGAACATCAGAGTCCTGAATTGTACAGGGAGCTTCACTGAAGAAAATACAGATAAGTTTGTTATTATATATATAAATTTTTGTCTATGTCAAAGGATGCGCGGGCACGTGTTTATTAGAGATAGAGAGAGAACTGAGAGATTTTCACCTGATTCAGTCCCCACAACCAAGAATTAAAATATGCAACTCAAATATTTTCAGAATAAAGGTCATTCTCTAAATATTTGCCAATAGAGTCTCCAAAAAAATAAGATCAAACATGTCTCATTCTAGTATATTACTATTAATCCAAGCTGATACACAATGACCATGCTGATGCAAACCATAACAAGCCTAAAGTATCAAAGGACCAAAACAGCATAAGTTCATAAGATTTCATACGGCACAAAATATACACTTCACTATTATTAAGTGCATCTTTAATTAGAATCTATAGAGACAAACAACAACAACAACAACAACAAACCCAGAGAATAGATTGTAACTGAGGCTCTTCTTTCCCCTCTTGTTTATCAGTTGAAATCTTGGTTTTCTTTCCAAAGGTCCTTTATTTGAATTTAGTAATTCCATAAGCTAGCAAGGTCCAATGGTGCAGTTGAAGCAGGTAGGGGTTGCTGATTGTCAAAGGGCCTCCTACCCATATCAAAATTTGATACAATTGAAGAGATTTCAGCGTTGACAACAGTATTCAGACATGCTTCCTGTGAGACACTTACCAAACTATTCCTCATGTTTGATCCATGGTTATCAAGTAAGGCTCTAAGGATCGTCTGGTCCTGGATGTTGTAAACAGAACCTGGTAATGGCAAATTTGGTGGAGATTGAACCCCTTCAGTAGTAGAGTAGAATGAACCAGAAGAGATTGGGATTCTTGGAAGAATCTCTGAATGATTTGAAGAAACCCCAAAAGGAGAGTTACTGAAGGAATCAAAGATCCCTCCTTGGTTTCTTTGGACATCAATTGGATTGGAGAAGCAGGGCACGTTAGGGAATTCATTCACACTCAGTGCTTTGGTCTTGCCAATGAAAGGTGATGAATCTGTGAGGGGTGGCAGAACAGAAGAACCCAATTCATTTTCAAAAGAGTCCAACCTCGTTATACCAGAAATATGTGTTTTCTTGCCTTCTGAATTCTTCTGAAACACCCTGCAAATCACCCACTCATTCTGAAACACCAAACCAAAATTCATTAGCATTGAACAGAAAATCACCAACATACTATTGAGAATAGAAGAAACATGTTCAAGCCAAATTACCTTTGCAGTTTTAGGGAGGTTGTGAACAGAGAATTTACCCTCAAGTCTATATTCATGCATGACCCAATTGGTTCTCTCTCCTTTGGGTGCCCTTCCTTTGTAGAAAACAAGAGTTTTCTTCATTCCAATTAGAGATTTTCCTCTGTAAATCTCTTTATCCTTCCCTGTGGCCTTCCAGTATCCTGCTTCAGTAGCTCTGTTGGTTCTCAAACCAGTTGGGTATTTTCTGTCCCTCACACAGAAAAAGTACCACTCTTTTTCTCCCATCTTAGCTTTCCCTAACCAAAAAAAAAAAAAAAATGCATATAAATCTATAATAGATAACAAAAAAAAAAAAAAAAAAAAAACCAAAGTGGGTCTGAATAATTGATGGCTTTAACTTACATGGTAAATCCCAAGGTTCACACTTGTTCAAGTCCACCTCTCCAATGGCCTTAGCAGAAAAGAGGGAATCATTTACCTTTTTGTAAAGGTAATGACTAATAAGCTCTTCATCTGTTGGGTGAAACCTAAACCCAGAAGGCAAATTCAACTGATCCTCTTCCTTACCTAGGATTGTAACGTTTTCCATTTCCAATTGCTGTAAAACCATCTTGCTTTCTTAGCTAAGAATTTCGATGAAGAAGCTAATAAGAATTTTACAACCTTAAACCTCCAAGGGTTTTCTTAGTGAAACAACTTGGTAGGGAAATATATATATATTTTTAAAATCTTTTTTTTTTCACAGAAAGAACTGAATTCAGTAGAATTAAGAATAGAGAGAGAATCTGCTAGTGAAGTCTCTCATTTAAATGAGAAACAAAAGGAAAGCCCACAGAAAGTGAGAGAGAAAAAGGGAAGGATAGGGATGAAAATCATGGAAGACATGGAACTGAAAAATGATAGTAACCAAATGGATGGAGATGTTCTTAGGGAAAAGAAAAGAAAAAAAGCAGAGAGAAAAAGAAGCCCCTAAATAGTGGTGTTTGGAGAGAAAGAAACGTGGAATGTAACGCAATCTAGTTGGTTGTTTATAGTTCGCACTGTTACTTTTCTGGAATCATTAATTTTATCCCCAAAATTTGTTCTGACTCAACATAACCATGCCCAAATACCATGCATGTAATTATATAATGTAAAGTAATTATTTTTTTAACTTACCGTTTTATATAAATCATTAATTTCGTACGTAATATTCAAAGAAATTTTTTTTCAGGGAATTTTAAATATATATCTCCAACCATTAAACAAGACTTAAGGCTAGTTTGGATGGGGTTAAAATAAAGGAAAAAACAAGACAATTATCTTGTCATGGTACAGAGACAATAAATGGGAAATTCATCATGTTTAAAATAAAAAGAAAAAAAAAATACAGCACAAATATCGATATATGTATAAAAAACTTTGCAAATCCTAAAACAAGATATTTTCTATACTTGTTAATTTAGAAGTATTTTTTACAAAAGTTAAAACTATTTAAATTTCTTTAAAAAATTTGGTTTTTTAAAAAAAAATTGGCTTTTAATTTCTATTTTTTGAAAAACTAAAATTTTTAACTTAAAAAAAGACAGGATTTTAGTTTTTTTTTATGACTTCGACTTTTTTTAAAAGCAAATGTCTGAACAGATTATTTTTTAAAATATTTTGTTTTTTTTAAAAAAAATATTTTTTAAACAAAAACTATTCAAACGGGCCCTTAAATGTTGACTGGTGCATCTCAACTCAGCATGCAATTTTATATTAAGGCTTTTCTTTTCTCAATCAAAAGAATAAAAAAAATAGAGTCGATCAGCTGGTGTAGTTGATATGCATTTTCGTCAAAAAAAAAAAAAAAAATCACAAGAAATAAAGAATCTCCTCCCCTTTCTGATTATTTTTCTGTCGGAGAAAATAAAAGAGAATTCGTTAAGCTGTTATTCTTTATACGATCCCAAGCTGTGTTAATGCAAAGAATAATGATCATACAAAAGCCTGCTCCTTTCTTCGTAGAGTTCTGTTATATCACTTTTTGTAATTAAATTACCAAAATGACCTTAGGATTAATGGGGAAAAACGACAAAAAAGAATTATGAAGAATAACTGGCTTTTTTTTCGTAAAAGTTTCAGAAACTGACATGGCAAATATATTTCAAGCTATTAAAGTTGAAAACCAAAAATGAATACTCCGAAAATTTGACAAATTCTTATAAAAAAAAAAAAAAAATTGACAAATTTATTTATTTATTTATTTATTTTCTTTCTGTACGTTGATGTTGTGATAAACGAGAAGGTATTTAGTGAGCGTGGACTATGATGGTCCTTTTCCAAAATAGAAAAAAAGAAGAACAGAGGGAAAAAAAATCAAAAAGAGAAGGGTAGAAATAAAAATAAATTTCTACTTATGAAAAAAAGATTACTAAATAAGTGGTGGGTCTAGAGCATATTAAATTTTTCCGAGAGAAACAACCTGCACTATAAGTGAAACTTTAGTACGTAAATAAAGAAGGAAAGTTAAATGAAGCAACTAGCTCTAAAAAAAAAAGACACTTGAACAATATATCTTATAGGTGGCAAATCCAACGTCAATAAATTATATTTATTGTTAATCCCGTAGTTTAATCCGATAAAATTAATACGTAATTAATTTGAAGTAAAATCATATAACTTGTTTTTGTTTTTGGGTATTGATATATGAATACAATAACTTTATTGAGGGCTTTCAAGGGTTTACCCCTAATGTCAAATCAAAAACATCACACATAATAACCATTTGTGGTTTTCTATTTGATCAATTAGAATTATTTTCGATAAAAGTACAAGAGTTTTTTGTTATCATTTGATAATTTTTAATTAAAGCAATTTATGATAGTATTAATTAGAGTAAATAAAAAAGAACAATCACAATTCATATAACAATTTTTTTGACCCATTAGGGATATCTCAAGCAAGGAAGCACGGACACTTGTAAAAACAGGAAGAGTCGGGTCCGACACGGCGACACGCTCCAACACGGTGTTGGATAGGCGGTTGACTTTTTCCGACACGTTGACCATTCCGACACGCGAATTTGACAGTGTTCGACACGGTCAAATGGCATTTTCGTAATTTTCTTATTTTTTTTATTTTTAATTTTTAATTTTTTTTTAAAAGTTAAAATATATTAATAAAGCTTTCACCTGATCATATCAATTTTATCTTTTTGTCTTTTTTCTCCTTAAGTAGATAAGAGATCATCTCAGCATCATTGTTGTCAATTATTATCACGCTCGTGTTGTATCTTCTTCTCTCTGATCTCTCTAATATGATTTGATCTCTCTATTTGATATTATATCTCTCTCTCATCCCAGTTCTTATTTTTTATTAAAGTTTCCATCTTTATAACGTGTTGATGGGTATTATTAATTTAGTTTCATTTTTTTATTAAATTATTAAATATTAAATGAAATATACACTATATAAATTAAAAATATTATTTAATATTAAAATGTGTCCCAACGTGTCGAAATCCATATTTTTTTAGGATTGACATGTCGGAGTATCGTATCGTGTCGTGTCACGTGTCGCGTGTCGTATCGGTGCTACATAGATCTCAAGTAGTTATAAGTTAGAGCTCAATAATAGTTGAAGAACATGATATATCAGTTCTTTTCTACTAAATATAATTGAAAAAATTGTGAAAATAATTTTAGAAAGAGGAAAGGTTATTCATTCTAAGGATAAGATATTTCACAAGTTTCAACAAGAAAAATGTATAATTTTAGCAACAAAAAAATTGTATGTGTAATTAAAACTTTAAACAAAAATTCAATTATCCTTATATGATCAATTAATAATGTAAATAGCTAAAATGAATATATGATGCTTATGTTCCACTAATGTAATATGGTGGCTGACATTCAACCTTACGTATTGATGCTATAGTGTTGAATAAATTTCGTTGACGATAAAAAAACTAAATTAAAATAATAAGAGTAATTAACATTGGTGATGTACATCGAGCGTTGGATTTATATTCATTGAGGTGGTTAGATGAACAAGTTTCAAAATAATGGCCAAATTCTCTCGTGTTTCATAAGCTAACTTGTCTAGTTTATAAATCAAAGATGTACAGCAACCCTACCTGTTTTTTTTTTTTTGCGTTCTAAAAAACAAATTACCTTTTTTTTTAATATTGCTTTAACGAAGTCAAAATAGAAAGGGGGTGTATCTCAAAATTTTGATTTGGTTGCGTTTTAGGAACAATCCTTGCGCATCAGATTTTGATTGACAGATTTTTTTTATTTTTAAGATGAATTGTTTAATAATTCCACTTATGCTCCGACAATGTTACTTTTGATATACATATTCTAAAAAGTAAGTTTGACGTATTTATTTAATTAATTTTTTTATTAATTAATATCAAACAGTTGAATTAAATTTTTTGACAAAGTTACCCATAAAATTTCACAAAACTTAAAAATTTTATTTAATTAATTTACTGTTTAATATTGTTTTTATATGTAAAAGTTATTGTTAGATTGTAAAGATTTGAATTTGAGTTTGTTATCTGTTTTTAGTTAATTGTTGTAGAGATAAGTAGTTCTGATTTGTAGTTATCAATTAGTTAGGTTGTTCCTATTTTAGAGGGGCTGTTGGAGTAGACTTGATCTGCTTCTTTTGTATATATATAGAATCCGTTGGGGAAGAGTAAATGAAAGTTACGCAAGAATTCACGAATCTTTATAGTTTTAACATGGTATCAGCTTTGGTTCTGATCTAGCTTTGGTTCTGACGAGGGCGGGGAGTGATCGCCGGTGCGCAAGGGCACAGACAAGGAGCGGATCCTGGCAGGCTTCCAGTGGCGGGGTACATGAATGAATCGAATCAACACCAGAAAGAGAGGGATTCCAGAGACTGTGCTGGTATGGGACGGTACAGTTGGGAATAGCTTATAAGAATTAATTGGTACTACCTATACTAACAAGATGCATATACTTTTCGGTAGTGCAGAACGGAAGAACTCTATAGTTAAGCGTGCTTGACTTGTTGTAATTCTGGGATGGGTGACCTCCTGGAAAGTTTTTCTGGGAAGTGTGCGAGTGAGGACAAAACACGCTGAAAAGTCTCGTGTTGGTGTGTGGGGATAGTCATTGATGCTTGCAAGTGGCCAAGTGTTACAAGTGGTATCAGAGCATGGCCTCTCTTCTAGTACGGTGTGGTTCGAGAACGAACCAGGCAGAAGTTGGTGGGCATGTAACATCTCGGGCGCTGACGAGGGCGGGGAGTGATCGCCGGTGCGCAAGGGCACAGCAAGGAGCGGCTCCTGGCAGGCTTCCAGTGGTGGGGTACATGAATGAATCGAATCAACACCCGAAAGAGAGGGATTCCAGAGACTGTGCTGGTATGGGACGGTACAATTGGGAATAGCTTATAATAATTAATTGATACTACATATGCTAACAAGATGCATCTACTTTTCGGTAGCGCGGAACAGAAGAACTCCACAGTTAAACGTGCTTGACTTGCAGTAATTCTGGGATGGGTGACCTCCTGGAAAGTTTTTCTGGGAAGTGTGCGAGTGAGGACAAAACACGCTGAAAAGTCTCGTGTTGGTGTGTGGGGATAGTCATTGAT